AGTCCCGACCTACGGGCGAAAGGATACCTGTAGGCTTGGTTTCCGTATGTTTTGTTAGGGCGTTCGACAAGGTACCTCATTACAGATTGCTTATGGAAATAAAAAGTTTCCTGGTCACTGGCAATCTCTTCGCATGGATCAGAGAGTTCCTTGGCATTTTGATGATGTCTTGTTGATAAGTGATAGAGCATAAGGATCAGTTCTTGAATGTACTGAACGCCTAAGCGGCGAGGAGGATCAGATAAAAGCAATTCAGAAACATGCCCCGTGGGTGTCGGAGGCTCTACAAACTCCTTATCCACCAAACCGAAACTGAATGCTGTTTGTGAAAGAAGCATGCAGCAATGACTCCATCTGCAGTAAATGAAGATATCTGTGACTGCATTTGATGTGCACGCTACATACCCTAGCTGCAGATATCATTTGCATAGCGTTTTATTTTTTCGGCATTTCCTGGCAAACCCGAAACACACAGCTTTTGAAGGTTTCTCCTCACACTAACCTTGATCAATTTCTATCACAGGGGGCACAATAGAATTGGCTTTTCTTGACGAATGTAGGATTCATGTTATGGTGTCATCCGTTTTTGTCATGCATCTGGCCAGATTCTGCTCGGTATTTTGATATGTTATGGCGGTGGTCTAGAACTTGGTCTTAGGAGGCTGTGTTTGTAACACATGGGGCTTGCCAGACCAGGATTGGGTCTTATACGAACCTAACAGACGAAAAGGCCAGTCACTGATTGCTTATGCTCGTTATATACTCACGATTACGAAACCACGGAAGAATACAATGGAGCTGTCAGGTTGAATAGTATATTTGATCGACCGAACCAAAATGTTGGCACATTCCGGCTAACTGGCTAAAGGATCGCATGCAAGTAGCGCAGCGCAATACGAAAAAGTAAAAAGATGTGAACGCGTGATTTTTCCCCTTCAGTTCAGCTACTAAAGTCAACATTTGTGCTGAATATGGTCGAACCCTACGTTATTGATTCTGGGAGATCATTTGACTCTGCAGTGGTATTGCTGGTAATGTTTAGTAGAGTACTTCTAAGTGTTCTCGTCGGTCATTTAGTCGCACATTTTCATGCGACGGGTATTGGAAATACAATGACCAGCTGTTAAAATACCTTGCAACCGGTATTGTAGGCCATCGGCTGGCATCGGCCGCTGGTTTCAGTTTTGTGCCAAAAGTGGGTGGGAGTGTCATGACTTTAGCGGTGGAAGCAGCTTTTATTTTCAGGCTATTGCCTGAGAACGTCGAGTTTATTGCATGAATTCGTCCAATTACACTTTACCTGCTATAGTCATCGGCTTCCTGTATGGTCATTGTTGTGTTCTGCATGGGTGGCTCCGGAGGGTTCGGGAGGAGCAAAATCTTGATCTGGTGTTGTGCGACTGTAGCTTTGCGACTCTTGGGCCTCTAAGGATAGCTACAAATCTGACCTTCCATCAGCGTTTTGTCAAACTTTGACCTTTCATGCGTGGTTTGAACAAAGTCATGCATTGCTCGCCCTCAGTCTAGAGGCAATACTACTGTGCTTATCACCGAAAAACTGCTGTCAACCATATCGTAACAGCTAATACAATTCCGTTAATCAACTGCCAGTAGGGACTGGCACTCGGAATCCGATGCGACGGCACATCAGCCTCCAAAAAGGTCCTAATATCGCATTGGTCCCAGAATGTAGTTTCTTGACGTGCTTCTACAGCAACGTAAGAGGTCTTAGAGGTAAACTACCGTGGCTAAGAACAGTGTGCTATAATCTACCAGTAGGCATAGATCTCATCACGGAGACACAGCTCTCATCAGACATCATGCATCAGGAGACATCCCTGCCTAACATGACCTCGTTCCGAAAGGATATGCAATTCAAAAAAGGCGGAGGAGTAGCCAAGTACACTAGAACTCACCTAAAAATCAGGGAGGCGATTGGTGGGGTGTTTAGCTTGCTACCAAACTCCTTATGGCACTATTTCACCATAAACCAAACTAAATACCTATTAGAAGTGGGTACGTAGGCCTCCTGTTTGCACGACAGAGCACAGGGCACAATCGTTCGGCGTCATTTCACCGACCGCCTCGGCGGCCTGTGATCGTGTGGCCCTCGCTGGAGGCTTTGACATGCCGGCACTGAACCCGGGAGTTGAAGTAAGCTGTGGGCACAAGTCTTTGGAACACAAACTTCGAAACACGTTTATGGCAGCAGGACCGATAGAGGAGGTTGAGGAAGACACCAGATGGAGACCAGTTGGAAAACAATCCCCATTTGACTATGTTCCAACAGAAGATGGTCTTTTCGTGGGTGGCATCTGTTTCCATATCTGTCTCCCCTTGGTAAAAGCAACCACACCTTGGTGTGGTTCTTTCTGCTAGCCAAGCGGAAACTACCAGTAGTTGAGCCAGGATCCTCCCGCTGTTACCAAAAAGCAAACTACCATTTCATGGGAGATGAACACATGGCCACAAGAATGGCACTCACTATCAACAGACGAGCACTGGATACATATTGAGCATAATATACGGAGCTCCATAGAAAAGAGTGTTCTGAAGATAACCAGGCGGCCAACACGGTCTTGGGTAACTCGCGCAACCCAGAGGCGAACAGAGGGGAAAAAGAAGGCGTGGAATCGGTGGCGTATATCATACAAAGAATTAGGCTATTTTAGGTACAAGACGTTGTGCAATCTACGTAATATAAGAGTTCGTAATGGCAGGTACACACACCAGAGCAACATGGCTAAGCGGTTAAGTTACAAACCGAAAAGTCTATACCGGTTTATGTCACTAGGCAGACCGGTGAATTAGGGTTTAAACCTGATCGCAAGTCCGGCCGGAGAACCCTTGAACAGCAGTAAGAAGGCAGAACTATCGAGCAGCCAAGTCGGCGGGCAACTCAGCCCAGTAATACTTCGACTATCAACATCTAGTAGTGTAACGAAGTCTCAGGACTGCGATACCAAGCTTTTGGACGTAAGGATTTCGTCAAACCAAGTGTTTGTGAAACTTCCGACGCTGAGAATGGAGAAATCACCGGGCTCTGACGACACAAGACCGGTGGTTCTACGCAACTATATCCAAATGGTTAGCGTACCCATATGCAACCTGTTTGCCTACTTGTTGGAGGCCAGTCGACCCCCAAAGAATGGAAACGCGCTATCCTTTCACCAGTCTTCAAGGGGGGGGACGCCGAAAAAACCCGTGCAACTGCAGACCAACAGCATTGCTTCCTGTGATTTCCAAGGTACAGAAAAGCCTGATTGCAGGTATTGTTTGGGACAACTTGAACGAAAACAGTATCGCTCATGCCATTCAACATGGCTTCAGAACTGGGCGGCCATGTATCACAAGCTTGATGACATCTCGGGATGACCAGACTACTAGATGGGAGAACAAGCAACCAGTTCACGTCACTTTCCTGGAAATGGCAAAAGCCCCCGAAGGCATCTTACACCACACCATGCTCGCTAAACTTGCAAAAGTTGTTATCACTGAACCACTCATAGAATGGTTTACAGCATATCTGGAGGGCAAGGAGTTCAGCGCTAAAGTAAAAAAATTCGATCACCCTAGAATAAAGCAAGAACAGGAGGTTTCCGAGGAGCTATCCTTGGGTCACTCCTATCTTTGCTTTACATGAATCACCCTCCCACTAAAATCTCCCCGCCTACCATCCTATTTGCCGACGACATCAAAATATAGAGAATAATAGATGAGGAAGAGGAGCCCAGGATACTTCAAAACGACCTGTTGCAGCTGGAGTCCTAGTCAGCTGCAAACGGTTTTACCTTTAACCTGGAGAAATCCAAGGTGACACGTCTTCGCACACCAGACGCGATGAAAATCAGCTACACCCTTAACAAGTGTGCAATCACCAAGGTATCCACAGAGAAGGACCTAGGACTAAACCTTTCTGACACACTGGATACTGCTGACAATTGTAAGGGAACGGCAGCGAAGGCGAACCCCTTTATGCACCTTCTAAGAGGGCGACTTGAATGACTAACCCATACTTATTCCCTATGGCATTTGAGACCAATATCAGACCGCACCAACACCATTGCTCCCCACTGAAGAGAGAAGTAAGTACTAACGAGAGGGTACAGAGAAGAGCGACAAGGCCGGTTGTCTGACTAACAGGCAAAACATGTGCACAGCGCCCCAGACAACTCAACCTGTTCACACTAAGCTGTCGAAGGAAAAAAGGTGACTGACAACAGCCCGCAAGATCGTTCACCAAACTGGCAACCCAAATAGGTCAGCCTTATCAGTCCAAGACTGACAACCACGTGGAAACCCCACTCGCATACTGCATCATAGGGCGAAGACGAGAGTGAGGTCTAACTTCTTCTTCCACGGAGTATGCGCCTTATGGAGGGCTGTGACGAAGGAAGTAGCCACAGCTACATCAGCCGACTCCTTCAAACGACTATTGGATGGGTATGTCAACACAAAGGGCTTACCATGAACATTTGTCAGTAGCAAATGATGATATGCTCTTCCTTCCCTGCATTCCCCAACCTTAATATCTGTAATGAGATGCATCCGTTCCCCACATTATTGCCAGCACCATTTATCTTTCCATAAGTACTTTTCACTCTTCTTTTCCTCATTCCCCACTCACCCTATTTCCAGCACACTTTAAGTGACATTTAACACCTACATATAGGTGCTGACAAAAAAAGGAATTCAAAGTGGTTTATTGATCTTATCAGCATCTCCGTTACCCCTTTTACCCCCCAGAACAAACCAAGCTACAATTTGCAAATAAAATAGCTTCATATACATAATTACTAACTCCAAAGCTATAAACAGGAAAACGCAGACTTCTGCTACCATAGGAACACAACCATATAAAAAGGACCAAGCCTCAAGATGTAGAAATGAGAGCTCAAAAATTGAAAGTTTCCTCTCCTCACATTATTGATGTTAGATGTTGAATCTACAGGACAAGTGACCTTGGTCCCGACACCTCAAGTTCGATTTTAACCTTGAGGATGACGTATTCAATCATCCTCCCTACTTATAACGAAAAAGAAAATTTGCCGATCATTACATGGATGATCGATAAGATCATGTGCGATAAGTAAGTGCTTGTTTTTTAAGATTGGTTTTTCAATAGTATTTTGAAGAAAGTCGAATGTATGGGAGACTTTGAAGTTTTCGTTTGATCTTCACCACTAGATAATACAGAAATATTAATTTACACTGGTAGTCGAATGAAACTGGCGTTATATAATTAGCATTTAACAATAAGCGAAATCTAAAATATCTCGTCATGTTAGTTCTCAACACGATGACCCCTCCACTAAAGGGGTACTGTCGAGTAGGTCCAGAGAAGGGCGGCAATATCAATTGTGGAACTAAAAGACAAGACATGTGCGCAATGTCTTGGAAAACACAACTTGTCCGCCTCAAGCTATCCAAAGAAAAGAGGCAACCATATACCCTACAAGATCATCCAACTGACAGACCACCCCAACAGGAAAATATTGGTCGAAAACCGTTAGTCTTGCGGAAACCCTACCGGAGGGCAGACCTAACTTTTCTCATAGAGTACCTTATGAAACGCTGTGCCGAAAAAAGTAGCTACAGCCACATCAGTTAACTCCTTCAAGCGAGTGCTCAATATTTCCTTAAGATCAGACGGCTAACCGCCAACACTCGCCGGTAGCAACTGAAGGCATGCTCACCCATCTTTGTCTTGCCCATCCCTAGTATCTGCAATAAGACCAATCCCTTCCCTATACTATTAGTAATACATATCCTGTGGGTACTTTTCACCCCTTTCCTCATTATTTGTTCACCCCATTTTCTGCGCTGCTTCCTAAGTGACACTTCATAATTTCTCACAGGGGCTTACAAAAAACAGGAATTCAGAAGGGTTAAGTGATCTCATCAGCAAAGCCGTTGCTCCCCCAAACAAACCAACCTATAATTAGCAAATGAAAACCTTGAAATAGACTATCACTGCCTCCACAGTTGTAAACAGGTAAACTGTAAAGGCTTCTGAGATTACCGAGGGGGTGAGACTGAAGGAAAAGGACCAATCGTCAAGATCTAGAAGTTAAAGTTCAAAAGTTACAGGTTTTTTCTATTCCTATTGTTGATGTTGGATGTGTAGTCGTCTTCACCAATACGGATAGTAAGCCGACTAGTGCCGTGTTAGTCAAACAGGATCAACTAGCGCAAAACGCATGTTGTAGTGATGTGAAAACACTATTTTGTTGAGATGGCTAAGCAGTCTTTCCGTGATAATCTTGAACACTGATAAATATGCCAGTTCAGCTAACTGGACGACAATTCAACACGTTTCCCATTCCCTGCCTTAAGAACTAGGTTGATTATAGCGTCTCTCCAGTCTGTTGGGTGCCGCGTCTGGCATGTAGACACTAAATAGTCCAGCAAGTGGTCTGCCAAGAAAGATAGCTTTGGGTGCAAGCCATCAGGACTAGGGAATTTTCCAGGTTTAAGTCTATTTAGTAGCCGAAAGACTACCTCTCTTGTGATGTTTACTGGGCTCATTTCTGAGGCATTTTTGGAAATACTGGTCGGAATACCAACATTACCGTCTACCGAGACAATACTAAAGTATTCGGATAGGCATTTAGCTTCGAACAGTTTAGACTCACCAAACTCCTCAAAATCTTTAGCTTATACAGAAGATGGACATAAATCCTTGGTTTTCGTTCGATTTTTGATGTGTAAGAACAGCAGTTTTGGACAGACCTAACCGTTGCCTTTCTTATTTTGTTCTGAACCTCGTAACACTTGACTTACATACGTTTTTAACCTTACGATGCACAGTGTTAAAGGCCTCAAAACCGGTTTATAAAATTTAGTTCCATATCTGTTTCCTGCTACTGTGAAGTCTCAAGGTATCCACTGGTGGCTATGCTAATGCTTACATGGAGTTGACCATGGTTTAGACGGTGAAGTTGCACCGTCAAGTCTAATTCTAATTTTTTCCCAAACCCCCATAGATGTTAATATTGACAGTCTATTCTAGTGTAATTTTACACTCAATGGCCGGCTTATCCGCACGCCATACATCCCGTCTAGGGGAAACTGACTCGATATTAATTGTATATGTGAAACTTGAAAAGTAATAGTGCATGGCCAGTGTTGGCTAATAGACGTATGTTGAAGGTCAGTTACTTCCTCTCTTTCACGTGTCAAAACCAAATCTATGAAGGATGATTTACTCTGTGGATCAAAACACTTTGTACTGACGACGTTTTGAACCAGAGGACAGAAGTAGGTCTACACCTAAGCAGTTACTTGAATCCAGAGATTTTGGTTCGGCTCAGTTAGCTGGTGGTGCACTGAGGTCATTTATTATCAGGCATCTGTTACTATTACTCCGACCGATAGCTGCTACCTTGACGTGGTGGTCGGGCTTGCATATCACAATGACCCAACGAGCTATGCTGGTGGAACGCTTGTTCCCTCGAGGTCCTACCATACCAGAAAGGTCTGTTGGGTAGTGGTTAGACGAAAAGCAGTTACCGTCATAGTGTAAATTGCTATACTATGATGGGGGTCTGAGGGCGAAGTCGTACTGCTGCTAGCTGGATGGGGTGTGACAGCAGTAAGGTGTTTCCCTTGGATGACCAGCAGTGCCAAGCTGATGCTGCCTTCTCAGTGGAAGGGGGGGTTAGAAAAGGTCGGCCCCAAAAATAACACACTCCACCACGCCCCACGGTCTGCCGGGCCGGCGGTGTTGGTTCACTTGTCGTTTCCTTTCGCTCATCCGGCCCCAAAAATACAAAAATTCAAAATAATCATACTCAAAAGGCTGGGTGTGACAGGCCTCAAGCAGATGTCCGATGGGCTCTGCGGTCACACAAATCTCTTTCAGGTACCTTAAGAAGAAATAGCCTTCCACGGTGTGGGCAGCCGGGAAGTGTCAACCGCCCTCACAACTCTGTCAGCACCCAAGTTTCTTCTGACTGCTATCCTCCTCCTCCATCATTACCTTCTAATCTTCCTTCACGTCTCTTAATTAATGATGCTGCATCATCTTCAATTTCTCCTACCTCTGCAGCCTTCGACAACGATCTGAGTCCACAGAACAGTGTCCCTGGTCTCCTTAAACCACGCTCCAAATTACATATTGGAGCCTTCAATGTCCGCACCCTCCGTCAAATTGGCCAACAGGCTTCGTTGGCAAAGACTCTAGCAACTCGAGGCATGGATGTGTGCTGTGTTTGTGAGACACGCATACAGGACCCAAGTGTGGTTATTCACCTGACCTCTCCTGACCAATCTGGTGAATCTGCAAAATTCACCCTTCGAGTTTCTGGAGATTCGATAGCTAGCTCTCGTGGTCTTGCAGGTGTAGGTATAGCATTAAGCACCAGGGCAGAAAACTCACTACTAGACTGGATCCCAGTTGATAGTCGCCTCTGCGCTATGAGGCTGAACGGCACAGTGAGAACTAAAAGGAATAGTGAGACTCGCCGTTGTCTCTTTGTAATCTCTGCTTACGCACCCACTGACTGTAGTTCGGATGAAGTGAAGGACGAGTTCTACCATAAACTGTCTAACCTCCTCTCGAAAGCCAAACGTTCGGACGTAGTGGTTGTTGCAGGTGACCTCAACGCACAGGTGGGTAGACTGAGTGAGGCAGAAAGGCACTTAGGTGGCACTTTCGGAATCCCAGCTGAACGTACAGATAACGGTGATCGCCTATTACAACTATGCTCAGATAACCGCCTATTTTTAGCCAGCACAAATTTCAGACATAAAGAAAGGCACTGTCTGACCTGGCGTCCACCGAGCTCGACTCAGCGATGGACACAGATAGACCACATTGCTATTAGTCATCGCTGGAGAGGATCGGTGGAAGACTGCCGCTCCTTCTGGAGTACGTGTTTGGACAGCGATCATGCGTTGGTCCGAGCACGTATATGCCTGCGTCTCAATGGACGTAGAAAAAATTTGGCAACAAAACCACTACGAGTTCTGCTGGACAACGAAAACACCAAAGCCGTGTTCAGTGAGAAGTTGGCTAGGCAGTTATCGGAACAAAAGACTGTCACTCATCCAGAAGAAGCTTGGTGCCATCTTCAGTCTACTGTAAAAGCAGCACTGGAGACTGTAGCCGACTCCAAGATAATGGCTAAAAAGAGCCAGTGGATATCAGCAGCTTCTTCCAAACTAATGGATGCACGTGAATGCATCCCTGCAGGCTCTGAGTACAATGAAGAGCGAGCGCAACTTAAAAATAAACTGACGAAAAGTCTGCGCAACGATCGTGAACAGTGGTGGGCAGCAAAGGCTAAAGAGATGGAAAAGGCAGCGGCGATCGGTAACAGTAGACAGTTATTTAGACTTATTAAGGAGACTGGGGGGAAATGGTCAACAACAGTTAGTGAGGTTATAGCGGAGAAGGACGGATCGGCGATTCACTCGCAGGGAAGGCGACTGGGACGATGGGCAGAACACTTTGAGGAACAGTTTAACTGGCCTCCAGCCACCATTGCGCTGCCCGCTATCCAGTCGGACCCTGAATGGGACATAGAGACAGGTCCCCCAACACTAGAAGAAGTTGAGAAAGCGGTAGGTAGCCTGAAACGGGAAGGGCAGCAGGACCAGACGGACTACCTGCTGAGGTATACAAGAATGGTGGTAGAGTTCTCTTAGTCAGGCTAACGGAAGTGTTAGCCAGTATATGGGAATCAAATACGATCCCCTCCGACTGGTCTAAGTCACTGATCATCCCAGTCTTCAAGAAAGGCGAGAAGTCCTCTTGTGATAACCACAGAGGAATCAGCCTGACAAACATAGTGTCTAAGATCCTAAGTTCTATAATTCTCCGACGCCTGAGTGGAGCTCGGGAACAGCAAGCCCGAGAAAACCAGGCAGGCTTTAGACCTGGCCGTGGATGTATCGACCAAATATTCACACTGCGCCAGGTCCTGGAACATAGGCATGCTTACAGACGCCCGACAATAGCTGTATTTCTCGACCTGAAGGCGGCATTTGACTCCGTTGATCGAGAAGTCTTATGGCAGTGTCTGTCACTGAAAGGCGTGCCTAGTAAGTACATCACCTTATTGAAAGCTCTCTACTCGAACACTTGTGGGCATGTTAGAGCCTATGGTGAGTTGTCCAGGGAGCTATACTCATCAAGTGGTGTCCGTCAAGGATGCCCACTATCCCCATTCTTATTTAATTTTATCATAGATATTCTTATGGAGGTTTCCCTCTCGTCACCTAATTACAAAGACGTTGACCGGATCACAGGTGAATTTTCCTTAGATCTAGAATATGCAGATGACATAGTCCTGTTAGGTGAAGACGCTGACAAGATGCAGAGTCTTCTGAACACTTTGAGTGGGAATTTGAGAATGTTTGGGATGCGATTTTCACCACCCAAATGCAAATTTTTGCTCCAGGACTGGTCTTCAGCGGTACCGCGGTTAACAATAGAGAGTGAAGTGGTTGAGTGTGTTGACCACTTCACTTACCTGGGAAGTAGGATCAACTCCGGTGGGTTAGTTGCCGATGAGATTTCTGCACGGATACAAAAGGCTCGATTGGCTTTTGCCAATTTGCGCCACCTATGGCGCCGCCGTGATATTCGTTTGTCTATTAAGGGTCGCGTGTACTGCACAGCAGTCCGCTCTGTTCTACTGTATGGCTGTGAAACATGGCCATTGAAAGTGGAAGACATGAGAAGGTTACAGGTATTTGACCACCGTTGCCTTCGTAGTATAGGACGTATTCCGTGGTGTCACCATGTGAGTAATGCAGAAGTTAGGTGTAGAGTTTTAGGGAGAAGAGGTAAGTCAGTCGACGAGGTTGTGAACCTTCATCGACTGAGATGGTTGGGACACGTACTACGTATGCCTAGTCACCGATTGCCTCGTCACACAATGTTGGCTGAGGTGGGTTCAGGCTGGAAAAAGGCCCGAGGTGGCCAGACTAAAACATGGCACCAATGTATGAAGTCTCTGACTGTTGGTTTAAGCCATGTAGGACGATGCAGACTAGGTGGTTGGGGTCCACGGGACAAGAGGAACCAGTGGTTGGAGACCCTAGGTGATATGGCTCAGAACCGAAGTCAGTGGCGCAGATGTATACACACATTATCCTCATCTTAACAACGCTATACCGAATCTCACTATTTTGTCACTCCTCTTTCCTTTCTTCTCATACTTTATATTTCTTTTGACTGCATTCACTTATCTTCATCCTTCACCTCACTACCTTTTTACTTGATGTGCTGATATGAGGTGTGGCAACTCGGACCGTTACGCAGTAATGCCTGGTCCTATGTTGATAATGATGATGATTACTCCATTCACTTATTCAGATTACCCCAATTTTGACTTTGTCATCAACTGACATAAGGGTACAGTTTATGAAATATTACTGAGTTGACCGTATATTCAGTTCTTCGTGAGTATGCAGTAGGACTTCTCCTTCCTCACGACCTAATTTTTTGGCAGGCCTGAAGTATGAGTTCCCAGAGGGAAGAAGAGTAGAATCCACTTCGCTTATGGGTCATGCTTTTGTCAGAGATTATGTCACGTCTTACTTTATCGAATAAAGTTCCCAGCTGTTTTAGTATTTAGGCTCTGGGTATTAGTATATTTTCGTTATGGTGTTTGAAGCATAATGCCACCTACCAATACAAGTCTTGAAAGCATTCATTTTCAAAAACTTGCTATCCGAAATTCCACAAGTTTAATTTTCTTGTCTACTTTCTCTTTCCGGGCTTTTAGTTCCGTTAGGGCCACCCATCTTTTCATTGTCCTCAAGAGGTCAGTCCGAACGAATGCCAATATCTGTAGGTCACGCGCCTTGTGCGTGGTACCCAAAATGATACCTATTTCTTTCTAATTTTATGAGACCACTTTTAAGGCTTCTTGAGTTGGTCTTACTTTCGTCTCGTTTAGTCTTATCATCTTAGAGACATGCACTTCAAGGGGTTTTTCTGGCAGAATGTGCCAAATGGTGCCATAAACTAATTGAAGGTCATGAGCATAGCTATTTTAAGGTTGTCCATCCTTCGAGATTCCAGAAGATAATATTAGTTGCTAGGTGATTATCCCCGGATCTCGTATTTACAGCCTTTGAAACCTTTTCAAATGGCTGTGCTACCTTATTAGTGGGACCAAAGAGACTTAAAGACTTCCTCGAAGATTTCTTTGGGACTGTCCAATCGACCTTGCTCATTGGGTCACCAGTATTATTCTCATGGCTGGATTTCGAGTAGTAGGGTGTTTGCACTTCTGGTACTCCAATCTCAATCTTGTAGTTCCTCTTACGACGAGTTCGTGTCTTGTGAACAACATGGACACCTCTTCCAACTTTTTCTCCTCTTGCTTAATGTCTATTTTTTCGCTTTACTTAATCTCGATGACACTGGCTGCATCGTCATGTGTAACTTCATTCGACTAAGCTAAACATCTTTACCTACTAGATTGAAGTTTCTTTGGTACCATAGACCCAACCACTTCCTGAATGAGAATAGACACTGGTTTGCAGCAAAATTTGCACATCCACCTTGCAGTAGGCTTACTGCAACGATTGCATTCAGATGGCGTGAGGCCAATGCACACGATATGGTTCCAACCGCTTCAGCTAAGACATTGCATCCCGTCGTTCACGGAGTGCCGTCATTTTTATGGTTGCACATTTTAATCAAGTCAAACACGGATCGTCACTAATAATTTTAACTCGAAAGAAAGTAATAAAGACAAAAGCGCAAAACAGGGAAAAAGCGACAAAACAAATATAGTTCAACACAACACTGGGAAAAGAATTTAAGCTTTGAAAAACCAAGTCGAAAAAGATAAAACTTGAAGTGTAACTGAATTACTTCAAGTTAACTTTTATCGTAAAGCTTTTGGTATGATCTACACAGAAAAAAGCCCAAATTTGCCAAGAACGTGGAAAAATTCACTTCTTGTTCTCAAAGCACGTGTATCGGAAGCGTTTATAGTTGTGTGTTGTCCTATGCATAACTGTGGCTAAGTTTTCTGGATTACTCATATTAGTAGGGTCTTTCAAGCGGCAGGGCTATTAACCTAGAGACGTTTGGTGTTTGCGCGTAACTTTCAGTTCCTTGCTGTCGTACATAGCTTAGAATGCATACTGTTACTTCTGAAACAAAAGTATTTAGAGACTTCATGAATGACATTAAAGTTTTGAAAGCCGAACGGCTTTAACTGTATCGAAAAACCTATTCAAAACAAACGTTTGCACGAATGCAATCATATCAATGTAGTCCGGCAACGTAGCAGTTTTATCTAACTACCTGTTAAAGAAATAAAACATCCTTTTATTAGTAGTTAGTTTTGTATAATGTACTGGTAGGCTTACTGTCTCCAATGAGTAGTACAAAAAACTGTAAGATCACAGATATATTAAGCATTTCACAGATCTTATACCAGTAATTTACTTATTTTTCAGCTAGAATTCAAAAGCATTTGATGCTGTGGATGTCTGTACTACAAATAATGGTATTCGTCAGCTTTATCTTCAGTTTACTACAACTGCGTATGGTTGTTGGATACCCACCAGTTAGATATGCACCTTATCTTGGCATGGATCCTTATGGAAAAACATTGAAACTAGTTGAAAAGAACTGAGAGACTTTAGCAATTTCATGACTAATCATAAGTGTCGTGTAAAAAGATAGTAAGCGAGACAAAGATATAAATGGTGGAGAAAAATGGCTACATGGATGAGATTCTTGAAACATTGAGCAAAATAAGGTGTGAATATATCTTTAGCCCTCTGGTCATCTATTAACAATCCCACATGTCTAAAACTTCTGGGTTCCCACCTCGCAAAAACCCTGTTTGTGTTACATCCTCTATTTTATCAACTGTGCCACCTGTAGCTCATCTCAGCAATTTTCTCTCTTGTCTAGTTCTCCGTCTCTCTTAAGATGCGCGAATCTATTTAAGACTCGCTGCAAATTTCTACATTCTTCCCTGACTGGAAACCTTATGGGCTGGCATTTTTTAATCTTCATCTCTGGGCGTTCTATGACTTGTCAGGTACCCCTGACCACCATTTTTCAATGCTGGTAATAATGGTGATAATCAGCGACCAGTTAGGTCCAATCAACGGCGACTTAACAGCTATAGCATCAAAGATTATACTATACTCGTCGTACAAAAAGTGGCTACCGCCACTCGACAGCTTAGTGGATAACACTCGGGCGTTTAAAGCGATTGATGTTGGGTTTGAGTCTCAATAGAAACAAAATCACTTGCTGGGAGGCAGGCACATCCAGCTGATGAGTCGCAAATAGGACGAAACGCACATTCTGGATTCCAGTGCTGGCCACTATCCATCATTAGTATCATATTTGAAAATACCGGTAATATCGAGTCATTGGCACAGAAACCTATATGCCAGTAGTGTCCTATCATTTCGGTCGAATCAACAATGGAGATTCACAAGCTATAACGTCAACGATTTTTCAATGCTGTTTAAAATCCCAGAGTTTATTTCTACGCTTCTACTAATATATATAGTTTTTCAATTTAAACTTATAGCAACCTTTCCTATGAATTGATAGTCGTGGACGACAACAGTCCGGATGGAACCGGTGAAGTAGCCAAAAAGTTACAATCTGTCTTTGGAGATGATAAAGTAGTGAGTAGAAATTCTTCACTCTGATGTTGTTTAGATTTTAAAACCAAGAAGTGGAAAATTAGGATTAGGTGGGTTCGTTTACAAGTAATAACGTTCAATAAACTTTTAATTCAGGTTCAGCCTATTTACATGGTTTAACTTTTGCAAGGGGTGATTTTGTTGTGATCATGGACGCTGATTTATCGCATCATGTAGGTTTTAACTGAGTTTTTACCTAAGTATTTCATTAAATTTGTAAGCAACAAAATATATTTTAGGAAAAGGTGGTTAAAATCTTGTGTAGTGCTTTCCTCTCCATGCCTATGTTGACTGATGTATGATATATGGGCAGGGTTGTAGGCTGCATTGCTTTTTTCAGTTTGTTAACTAGTTTGTTTCGTCATTATTTTAAAAACTTTCTTTGGGATATTTGACTGCTTCAAAAGATCGTTACCCTTCTTCGAGGTTGTCGTTCATTTAACTAACTAGGATAAGGCGATCATTCTGCTACAGTCTATTTTAGGTGTTTATAGTTCCGTCGCATAATTTTCTACTGATGTGTCAGTATCTAAAGCATTTAATATCAGTAAGTAATGCTCACTAACTGAATTAAGATGAAGATAAGTAGCTGCCATTGCTCTTTTCGGAGCTCATTTTACCAGCAATGTACTAAAATCAACTCAGAGGGCTAAATTGTTCAAACTTCCTCAAAACTGACTGACTTCTTGAGTGAACTGGTAAACTCTGGGATGACTGAACTATTTATAATTCACTTACATAGTTTCATCATGAGTCCCTTTAAGAACCGAAATATTTGTTTGTTTTTTTACCTGGAGATGAAGACTGATAAGAAAGTAGTTGCTTTTCGACATCTTAATAGATCAATAATTTGATTGAGTTGTGTAGTAGTAGTAGCGAGTGGTGCTTTAAAGCTGTGTACGTTTCATCCAACTGAGGTGCGGTGCATTTTCCAGAAGTCGACTCATGCTAGGAAGAAGTATGGGGCAAAGTCTGGTTCATATTTAGAGGCATAACAAATTCATTTTACTGTTCCTCTTGCATGGAACGAACTCAGATTACTCATATTGCTTTGATTTCAAGTGTCTAAAAATGACGTCTTACTTTGAAGTAAAAGGGTAATGTACCTGTTTTGACAAAGTGGTTCGGCTGAAAATGATTGCCTTAGGTCACTGAAGAATTGGTGGTGGCTTTATTTCCCTATTAGGTGTGAATTTATTTTAGTTAGTTGATGTGTCTTACCAATATGGTCTATAATATTTGATTCATTTCCTTATCAGTTCACCCGTTCATTTCAGATGGGTTTAGTCTTGGTTCAGAAACCCCAACACTTAGACGAGGACTCGACACATACACCGTAGTGGAGAACACAAAGTACAAACAGCTAAGTTGTGGCTAATATTCGTAACTCAGGGTGTGGGTGTACAAAATAAGTAATTCTCTGAGATAAAGTTTTAATCGTCAAACGTTCTAATATCATGCTAGACATCACCACTAGTGCATCAGAACTTCAAAAGGAAGTGAAATAATTGGTTTCACCTTGATGCCACGTTCGTTATTCCATATTAAGTATTCACTGTGTTTTAGTGTGCGGTTCTCCCTTGTTATTCACGAACCCTATTATCTACGACTAAATTTAAATCAGTTATGATCTGTCTTTCTTTGAACAAAGTACTTCAGCATATATATCCTATGCCTTAAATTTTGAAGATATAAGATTTGCCGGATTTATTACTTAATACCATTTGATCCTACCATCCTAGCATGTTTTGCGTCAAGGCTCTACCACGTAGTCAGCAACGTAAGGAAGATTTTCACTTTAACTTTTCATAGGACTTGGTAGTTCAGAAGAAATGGTTTTGAGCAATGCAAGAAAAAAGACATTTGCGGAATAAAACGAGCTTATTTTATTTGATGGGCTTTCATCAGCTGCAAACAGCCTACAATTGAAATAAATTATTATTAGTAATAACAACATAACATACTTTAAACATGCAGAAATAAATGGAGATTTGAAATCTAGGATTAAAAGTAAGGTAGTAAGTCAAGGAAACACAGGATTAATAGTTACATATCTTAGTCGAAATTTATGGTTATTTATGTCTGGAATGGAAAATTCTGGAGCTGTGGAGTGGGGGGACAACAAACGAAAATCAGTGTAAAAGAAGGGATTGTGTAAAGGCCAATAGGTTACGTAGTTGCTTGAAAAACTTGAAAATCGTTAAGTGGTTAATATTCAGTAAGTAATTAATGAAGAGATGATGCAATTAACAGGAAAAAGAAAACTGTATACATACATATGCAAAAAATTATATACATTTACCGAGGCAAAAAAAGTTAATGATAGTCTCCTTCTGAGTACATAGGTTAGATTGAAAATGTTTGATAGCGAGAGATTCCGCAAACCATAATAAACATGGTGTTCTTTGTTTTTTGGTTACCCTGAAAGATTAAGAAACATCTATTTAATGTCCTGTTTCCATTAGATACCTGGCGATTGCGCTTTTAAAAACCTTGCTACCTTTCAGACACAGACTTCTCGGAATATGCTAATAAAGTCGAGTAGATACCCTTCTTTCAGTCCGTCCTATGTACTTGCTTCCACAAGCACAGGTGAATTGATATATGCAGTTGGAGGTGACGTGAGATGGGTATTTGTCTACTTTCGGCTGTGTTATTGAGCATAATTTATTGTAAAGTGAGACCAGTCTGGCAGCAGGGAAGCTCCTTCTCAGTGCAGCTTTTATTCTTCTATCTATTATTTCAGATGTCTCATAATCTTTGTATGCTAGGGAAAGGAAAGCAGACTTCTTCTAAACAGTTGGATGTTTTGGTCTCATTAAGTTCTTTTCCATGTTTCATGATGTCCTTCGGGTATCCATTCTCTCTAAGAGCCTTCTCAGTTGTCTCAAATTCTTCTTGCTGTTTATCTTTAGAGCACAGCCCGTTTATTCTAGTGAATAGCGTCCTAACTAAACCACGCTTATAGCTGACAGGAGAGAAGCCATTGTAGTGAAGGTACTGACCCATTCACGTGTCTTTTCTGTGGATGGTTTTCTCAACTGTACCATCACATCTCTGTCTTATACTTAGATCCAAAAAATTGGATCTGTCCCCATTTTCATATCCCAATATAAAATTAGTATTTGAATGAGCTTGACTGAAGGTATTGGACAACTTTAACGCATGATTCATATTATCACAAACGATGAAAGTATCATTGACATACCTGTAGTAATGTGTCGCTTCCTTGATCGCAGCGTCCAGACTTGTTCTCTCGATATGAGCCATGAATATATCAGGTAGGATAAGTCCTAGTGGTGAACCCATAGCCACTCTATCAGTTTGCCAGTGTAGTTGATTATTAAATTGGAACTGAACACCTTTTGTACAGAGGAGCAGTAATTGTTTGAGTTCTGTTTTCAGCAGTGGTAGTAGATCAGACTGTTGACAGATTATGTCTATCGTTTCATCCACTGGTATGTTCGTAGACAATGAGGAAACATCAAATGATACCATGAATTTATCTGAAATGTCTAATCTATCCAGTTCTTCAAAGAATTGGAATGCATCTTTCAAGCTGTGATTTACTAGCGCTTTTCTGATGGGTTCCAATTTTTTTGCTAACCAACGAGCCAATTTGTGACAAGGTGAATTTATCATGGACAAAATGGGTCTCAAAGGAACACTGAACTTAGAGGTTTTTGGAAGGCCGTACACGAAAGGTAGTCGTGAACCTCTTGGTTCAAGTTCATTATAGGCTACTTCTTCAAAAGTTCTCTGAGGTGCTTACTTACTTTGTTTTCAATTGAAACTGTCGCATCCTTTTGGGATCTATCAACTGTGAATCTCGACGAATCCCCCAAAATCATCAGAATTTTATTCAAGTAATCATTTTTATTCATTATGACGACACCAGACCCCTTATCAGCTCTAGTTATTACAACTTCGTGATTCTTATGCAGCTTTTTCAGCGTCAACCTATACTGTTTAGTCAGAATCTTTGACTGCTGGTATGGAGATATGCAGAGCTAATTGGCAATATCGACCAGCTTAGATTTAAACCAGCTTCTTCTATTCTCATCTATAGACTTCAAATCATGAAGTTGCTGATGTAGGTTTTCAAATAGGATTTCAAATCTCCATTTATTTCTGCATGTTTAAAGTATGTTATGTTATTATTACTACTAATAATTCATTTCAGTTGTAGACTGTTTGAAGCTGATGAAAGGCCCTAAAATAAAATGAGCTCATTTTATTCTACAAATGTCTTCGTCCTTACATTGTTGAAGTTTGTCATGGGAACTGAACGATAATTTTGCTTGTTTTAAAGTGGTATTAACTTCTCTACTTTAAACTTGCCAATCCTAACACAGTTATCTCCGTGTTTTATCCACATGTGTTTTTGTGGTATTGCTATTAGTGGAAAACTGTGATATTTTCTGGAGACCTCGAATTAGGTCCTACGGATGTTTCTGCACGTAATAAGAGTCTGATCCAGTGGCTCAATGGTAACGCGCTGGCCGCGGAACCTGAAGGTCGCAGATTCGATCTCTGGCGGGATCGTGGGTGCGTACTGCTAAGGAGTCCCATACTAGGACGAAACAGCTGTCCAGTGCTCCCAGGTTTCCCTTGTTCCTCCAATTGATGAGGGAGTGAAACGTGGTTTGACTTTGTGTCAACCCACCCCTGCATACTAAGATAACCAGCATACATACGATAAGAACTGTCAACACGTGTACATACAAATCTCAATCTGTAATTCATACACTCTTCACACACTACATATGTATATCATCCTTATTCTACAATTGTGACAACGCAGAATCATTCAGATAGAAGAACACTTATCAAGTTATCATATATTAGCTTGGATATTGTAAATTCCGGTTTACTATAACTTTGATAAAGCTGTTCGCACTAAATAGTGAAACATAAGTCCGAACAAATTTATTTTGTTTTACATTCTCGTTGGGAAATACAAATACCAAAATAATGAGTAGGGTAATTAGTTTTTTTGCAATTAAGAAAGCATGCCAGTACAGTTCCAATCTTGAATCTGAGTTTATAGGCGGAAAGCTGAGCTTAGTAAAACAACATATATATATATATATATATATATATATATATATATATATTCGAATGACTCACTGCCATTTTACTTTCAGAATTGCTTATTGATTAATAAAAACTTTTCACCTTGGCTGTTATCCTATTGTCTGCATCTGATTTCATTAAAAATTGTGGTTGCTACTTTATTTTATGCCAACAATCCCCATCGCTTTATCAGAGTGGCAGAGATCTAAATATTCTCTTTTTGCGTTGCTGGGTTCATTCTTTGAATACAAACTTTTCTTTTACATTTAGGAAATTCAGTTGAACTATACTTTCTGTAACTTAATTTACTGGAAGAGAGTATATCGGCTGTTGTTGTATGTTGTTACTAGTTCTCAGTGAACACTGCATAATCGGACTAGGGAAACAATCATAGAAAACTAGATCATTATGTAGCAGTAATATGTGGACACTACGTTTTTCATGATATCGAGTTAGTAACTCGTTTGCAGAGAACAGTTCCATTAAGACATTTGAAATTCAGCGCTTACATTCGATACATGGACATGACGAAATATATTTTATTGTGATTATAATAAACGGTTTTTAAAAATTCCAATAATTTCCTTTCTGAAATTTTACCTATTATTTTAGCCAAAATTCATTCCTGAATTTATCAAGTACGTATAAAACAAAGTAATATGATTTTGTAAACCTAAAGATTACAAAAACATCATGACTATGATATTGTTACTGGTACTCGATACTCATGTAATGGAGGTGTAAGTGGTTGGGATTTGAAGCGTAAACTTATCAGGTTAGTTTATGTAAATTATCTTAGAATCAATTTCGTCTTGAGTTCTGAGCACTTGTTCAGATATCATGCCAATTGCCATTTAAATATTTTTGTACTTAGTTCTTTCTAGGGATTTCCTAAGTTTCTTTCATTCGTGAGTCTATTTTTACTTAGAGAATGGACACATGATGAACTTTACTGTGTCGTGGGGTTGTTGAGTTCTTAATATAGTCTGCTTGGTGGCTGGCATTTAAATTCAGGACATGCGTTTCGTCGTATTTGGTACTCATCAGCTAGATGTACCTGCGCAATGGTGAGTGACGTTATTCCCACTGAGATTCGAACCCAGTACCCCTCGCTTAAAACACCTAAGCGTTATCCACTAGGTCACTGAGGCATGTAAGTCACCTCTTATGAAACAGGTATCAGGTGTTGTTTGATACTTTTCCGGTTGCTGTACTGGGTCGAATTACTTAACCTCTGTTTTAGCTCTTATTTGCCAGTGTATATACCCATGAAACATACAAAACATTCAAACCGCTGCTTAAACTTAAGATCAGTCGTTAGGAGTAAGTCTTTTAAATTAGTATTTGACTGCTTAAAATTGATTTAATTTGGAGTTTAAATGGCTGGATGTATGAAAGCGACAGCCAAGGTTTTATAATCAATTATCACCGGAGAGCCAGTTTTTCGAATCATTTTCATAGTATGGGTTTCAAACTCGTATGAAAAGAGAAGTACTAGTGTGGGAAACGACAAGACTGAGGCTCAGGAAGGAATGTTTATTATTGACATCTTGTACAGTAGTAATGAAATATTGTACATTTCCCACTAAAACAGTCATATGCACAATGTGCTTCGTTTTCTTTAATCCTTCTATCTCAATTCACTCTTCAAACGCCCACCCTGTCTCTTGCGTTTTTGTTGGTAGAATCTTTACCCATTGCTGGTAATTGCCTATGATTTCTAACGCTCTCTCAAAATATGCTACTTATATCTGGTTTACTGATGCCGATTTAGTTCATTTTGTCGTATGGTTTGTTTAATACTCATCCATTCTTATGGCTACTTAACAGTGTGTTATCGGTTAGTGTATTAGGTTTTAGAGTTTGCAGTTAATTTAAGGTGTCTGGTGATACAATTTGGTTGATAGAAGGGTTGTAGAGAGAGTGATTTGGAGCCCATGACCTAATAATTGTCTAGGTACTGAGGAATGGCAAATCGAACTGTCACTTTTTGTTGCCAAGTGCTATGTTGATTAGTGACTGATTGAAATATAGAGTCTTAGGTAAAAGGGGTAAGTCAGTTTATGAAGTTTTAGGTTTTCATCTTCTGGGTTGGTTGGGCGTGTTACTGATGCTTAGTCACCACCTACCTGGACGCACTTTAGTGGCTGAACTAATGCTAGGTTGGAAAGAAAGTTAAGGATGGGAAGACTTACATTACACCAAGCTTTTAAGTTTCTCACGTTGTTAGAGTTGTGTGGAGAAGTATAATCCTCGACGGTATTGTTTAAAAGACTAAAGATTATCTTGGACGCTAGGTGATGTCACTCAGAATCGATCAGGTTAAACTTATGCAAATCTTATCTTCATCCTAGTCGTTATTAATGAAGCTATAGCTTTGCTAGTCTAGGTGATCCAAGTTCATAAAGTGAGTTATAAGTTTGCACTCCGCTTCACCTTCCACGGTTTTAGTCAGTAGGTGGTATCATATGCTCTCATACAGTGGGTGTGGCTCGTTGTCTGGTGTATGCAACCACATGTAGTTACTGAGTTACATTTCTTTCATTTTATCGCATTTTATTATTTCCTATATTTCTCCTCTTCCTATTATAGCTCTCTACGTCTTTTGATTGTATAATTCGCACATTTTCCTTTTTATCTTCCTGTTGGGATGGCCTTGATTTCGGATGTAACAAATTCAAACGATTTGTAGTCATGTTGTCTGAAATTATTGGACCACAAATCTGTATGATACCCGTGACTTTCACTGTGAAATTTTCGTTGTGCTATTTCATACGTCGATTTGAACACCTCATAGATCAGATTTCTATTGCTTATGAACTCATTATTCAAACGTACACTGTACCTGAGGTTTTGAAAGCTTATTAGAAAGATTGGTTGAAGATGGCTATTTACTGTGTTAATTGTATCTGTGCTTTTTCTGTCAGTCAGCTATGATCATTTATCGGGATTTTACAGACACATCTCATTTATAATGAATACGTTTGTTTGTTTTTCAGCCGTACGGCGAACTATATAGCTCAGGTGCTACTTCGACCAAAAGCATCCGACCTAACTGGGAGTTTTCGGTAATTATTAACTTTTGGTAGTTTTATCGTTTTATTCATTGTAGCCTAAGAATACGAACAATTGATTCACAGTCCGTAAAAGTTTACATTGAGTACTTGATTTAGTCTTGGAGAATATTAACAGTCCTATTTTGCCAACTGTCTCCTATTTTCACTTTGCTTGTTTGAAACTTGTAACTGGAAAACTTTTAGGAGATATATGATCTGCAACACTGATGTTGATTCTTACGTAACAACTTAAACTGTTACATTTCTGTGTGAAATTCCAAGTTGATGTATCTGCTCAACAGCCCAATCTGAGCTATTTTGAGCAAATTGTTGTCTTGTGCGAACCAATGGTATCATTTACAGGTGCTCTTTCAAAGGAGCTGAAATGCAGTGAAAGTCCTTAACCTAAAACCATAAAATAAGACGAGAGAAACAGCTCTATTGAAGTCTAATGAAGTAAGTTTGATAGAGAAAATAATTGCCGAGTCTTTGTTCATCGAGTTAACACTCAACACATGTAATCAAAACGATGCTACACCCATGTCGCAGATGTGAAGAATGTTACTACCCCTAAAAACAAAGGTGATTGGATCGTTACAATCACATGTTGAAAATTGTATGATTACTTGATATAGAGAGACAAATAAAGTCAACGTAGAATCTCGTACACAAGTGCATCGGTTCAAGTTGCCAAACCTCACAGTAGTAAACAGAACAATTGGATAGCCAAGACTCATAACAAAGTAGAAGAAGGTGTATGGGAGAAGAGGGAATTTAAGACAAAACATTCAAGCTTTAAAAAGTGTCGAAGGATAAATACATCTTCAGCGCTTTGACCATTTTCAGCCATCCCACCAAGATTCATGAACCACTGATTCCTCTCGTCTTGGGCACTCCAGTCAGGTAGTCTACACCTCTCTATACATGCTCCAGACTGATATGGAGATAGAGAAAAATGACTAGTCTGGAGAGGGACCGATCAAAATGTACTTTATGCTATCTATAGTTAGACAGACAGACGGTGGATTGGCAATCAACAGAATTATTTTAAACAGCCAACTGTGTGTATGTTAGCTGTAATTTCCTTTGTTTTTGACCTTCAGTATTTCTACCCCAGTACATGTTTCTACACGTCCATCGTGTCTTCTCCATGAGTTAGCCGGGTTGGGAATCAACTAGGAATTTCTTGAACGTTAATGGCTGACACTCGATATCCATGCATCGTTAGCGACCATCGCACACAGCAGTTTCCGAATCATAACACAGGCCAGCAGTGTCACGTCTTGGTCTGGCCATTCTGAATCTTCTTCCAATGTAATCCAACTTCTGCTGGCGTTTTACGTCGTCGCGAGCTGCTGCGGCTCAGCATACGCACTAACTGAGCGATGATTTATGCTTAAAATTTCATCCAGTAAATAATACTGTATCACTGTGTGCTATTTTTCAAATAAATGAATCTAATAAGGAATTATATTCTACTACAATGGTTAAGTTTTACACTTATACTACTGAATTTGTTATTATCCTCAGTAATTACCTTTTCTCATTCGATTCATCCTGTTAGTTTTCTATGGTCATTTCGTTAAGATTTACGGTAACTTGAACCGGATACTTCAAGATACCACTGATTTCAGGTCATTCTTCGTTAGCTAGTCTGAAGTCATAGATTCAGTTGATTGTGATAGTAGACGATTCTTAGCTTCTTTCATTTTCATCATCTGGTGAAAATAAATCTGCTATAATTATTGTTTTTGTCCATTGTGTTCCTAATGGAACATAAGGCTTCAGTAGCCCACAAGCTCTCATTTGTTCCTCACAAGATCTCCTCCATGTCACCCTCGGACGCCGAACTCGTCGCTTCCTATCTGGGTTCCACTCGACAACCTGGCCTGGCGCGTGATGTCCCCAGTCGGTTTTCTCAGTGTATGCTCAATCCATCTCCACTTCTTTCTGCATATTTGTTGAGCTATCATGAAAGTTTTTAATCTCAAAGTCAAGCAGTACCAGTGGATACTACTCTCTTTACGTATACGAATCTTGTATGAATTATTATTTTCGCTATTGGGAATATCCAGCATTGTTTCCTTATAATAATCAAATATTAACTCCTTTTTTATCATCTTTTTTAAAAATAAAATAATTTTTGTAATTTTTAGATTATACAAAAAAGAAGTACTGAAAGATTTAGTTTCACGTTGTACTTCGCGTGGATATGTTTTTCAAATGGAAATGTTAGTGTTGGCATCTACATTAGGATACAAAATTGGTGAAGTATGTCATTTTACAACGGATAATTTGTTTATCTCTTTTTATTCTAGGTTGGTATAACTTTTGTTGATAGATTCTATGGAGAGTCAAAACTTGGTGGGACAGAAATTATTCAATATTTAACGGGATTGATACATCTTCTTTTTACTTGCTAATTTGTTATTTATATTCTCATAATATATAAATTTATTTGCATATTTGGTTGTGATTTTTTTGTATTTATTCTTACTTATCATCAATTAAGTCAATCTGAAGTTCATCATCATGTTGTCTTTAATTCAATTCTTGCATTATTATGCATAGTTGTAATGTAAGAAACGAGAAATAATAAGACATGGGACAGAACCTGTATTATGACATTTTGTACAGTACTGATGAAACACTATACACTTTCCAATAAAATAGTCATTTGCACAGTGTTTCATTTCCTTTTCTTCTTCTATCTCGATTTGCTGTTCATACGCCCACCCTGTCTCTTGCGTTTTTGTGGGCAGAATCTTTACCCATTGCTCTGGTAATTGCCTATGATTTCTACCGCCCTGTCAACATATACTACTTATATCCATTCTTATCAGTAGCATCCACTACACTAGTAGATGAACTTTTTAAATATCATTTAATTAACCTTACAACTGTGGATTGGTACTTCCGGAAAGTGATTTTTAGAAAAATTGGGAAACACGGTTACGGTCTTTGTCCCGGACTGACGAAATCAACATAGAACCTCACACACAAGTGCATCGGCTCAAGTTGCCACACTTCACAATAGTATACAAAGAACAGGTGCAGAGAAATAGAGTGGTATAAAAGTAGACAACGTTTTATAAGAGAATAAACAAACTGGAGATAACGGTTAGTGCAAATATTCAAGCTTCAGATGTCAAGGTGTGTCCCTGAAACATATCACAGACTAAATACAATTTGCAGATTCTAATCATTGACTTTCACAACAGTGGTCATACTCTTTAGTTTATGAAATAAACTTATTTTATCTAATGAACTGGTTTTAAGTGTTGTCCCATGGTAGTAGTATAAATTACAAGGACTAATACGTTTATTTCTAGTTCCCATCACTTTCACTGATGTACAACTCAACGACTATGTACATTTTTAAACGTTTGACTGTTAGCTCTACGTCTGTTGCAGCTATATTATTCCTTTTCTCAACATGAATACAAAGAGATGAGCCGTTAAAAATGGTAAAGTAGCATTTAGAAGACGTGGGAAATGGATGAAAGAATCTAAACAAAGCAGAAATGAGTTATTAAAGAAACTGTCTCAGAGACATTCAGGAAAGCATTCACTACTTTTGTTTCACTCTTCAGTAATGGAATAAACAAGAAAGCTGCTGCACGATAGTCGGTAGTTTTGATTATGAGCTATGTTTGCCATCACCAGAAGAACTGAGTTTGTTAGTCTATTGCACCCATCTAGGGAATCATGGGACACCTACAGATTCTCGTCCAACACAACAACTCGTGATCCCACAGTGCCTCTTCATCTCCACGTTTTTCAACCGGGTATAGGACAAGTGAATGGTGTTAAAGCCTTTGGGATAAGATGTGTAACATATGTCCAAGCCATTTTTTTAAGATTACCACACCTAATGAATTTTGATCCTTATCACATTCAAATGTACGCCTCCTCACCTCAATTACTAACAAGGTGTTTCAACGGGGTATGAACAATCCCTCGAAGATACCAGTGTTCGAAAATGCAGTTTTAGGATATCTCCTTAGCTTGAAGAGACCAGGTTTCACAGTTGTGGAGCGGACTTGCTCTTATCGGCGCTGTATTGGAAGTTAACATCATGACGGGGCCGAAGGTGATCCAGATTGATGTATACCGTTCTGGATTTTGATATATGGTTGGAAATTTCATCAACCACACCCCTACCTACATTCACACAACTACCCAAACATTTTGACGCCTTGGAAAGTCTCATCATGAAGGATGAGTGGTACAGTCTCCCCTCAATTTTGTAAATGCACTTTGATGGTGCGAAGCACATACCATACTAATGGAAACTGACTGAGTACAATTTGGGTAGCCTATATGTTGTTGCACAATAAGACGATATTGTTCACATACTTGACGTTGAAAAGTCTTTCACCCGGTATCAAATCTATACCACTACCAGCTACATACTTTCAAATCTATCTCGTGAAGGTCATCGATGACGAAATTAAAGAGGAATAGTCAATTGGGCCAGCTCTGCTTAACATCACTTTTGGTTTAAAACAATGGAGATATTCGGCTGTAAGCCTTCACTCTACCTGAGGTGCAGTCAAGTAATTTAGTAGGACAACTAGAGCATCCCATTTAGACATTTAAAAGAATGTGGCCGGTTCTCTTTCTACTGAGCTATTTTTAGAATCAGATACTTACTATAGAAGTTATCCTGCAGAATTATATAAAATAGATCCAACTTTTTAAATATGTTTTGTGAAAACAATCGAACATACATTGGCCTACTAACACCGTTGTAGATACTTTCCAGACTTGAAAAGTATGTTTACTAAGCACTTTTTCGATGTAATAATCTTAAGGTATTGAACTACAGTGATTGACATACCAACTGTTTTTATTGTTAGTGCTGGCGTGGGACTTTAGGAGCGCGTACCCACGACTCCATTAGGGATCGAACTCAGGTCTCGCGGTGAACGCGTTAATTACTCAGCCTGTCAGCCGGAGTTCAGTGGTCCACAGTGTGCAGCTTCTTTCGATTCGCAACTGTCTACCCAGGTTTCCAGTTAGCATCCGCTTCACTTCCGAATGGTTGACCCCATAGGTCATGGTTTTTCGTTAGAACTTCGGGATATTCATCTAGAAGCATGTCACCAGTGAACATTATACAGAAATGCATTTAAGAGGACTTGATAATGGTAATTAATTTTATTTAATTAACAGAAAATGGATGACTTTTTATCAGCACTATTTTCCTTCTTCTGTTTAAATCGTTAAGTAAGTAATACGTAAATATATCCAAATGATAAGGTGGTTTATCTGCATTACTTGTCAATTAGTTGTTCTATTGTATTTAATATTTTTTAGATAACACTGGTTACATTGTGTGTTACCTTTTGTTAGAGAACTTCATCTCTGCTCGCCAATGATAGCTGGTAATGCAACATCTGGTGGTTGATATGTGGGTTCATGTGATTTTGTTAACTGTGTCTGTGGAACAGCTGTTAATGGTGGTAATTCTTGACGCTTCTGTTTGGGCCATAGTGAAGTATTCTCCGGGTTCTGTATGTGTTTGTTGTTTATCAGCAGTTCCTTAGACATTTCAAGGCCATTGTGATATAATCTGTGAAACTCATTTTTACCCATTATGAGCCTTTGGTTTACCAAATTGATCAAAGGATCTGCGTAAATATCCTCTGTTTTCAGTTTACTTAGATTTGCATGAATTTCAGCTTCTTCTCTAGTTACAACTATAGTATTCCATGGTGACCATGGTTCATTAATGTTCCATCGAGTTAGTGTCAAATCAAGTAAATTTGTCCAACCAGAAAGAACTGATCGACTTTCCCAAATTTGATCGATTAAAAATCTTATATCCTCTTTGTTTATCAAGAACGGGAGTGGGTTTATGGAAAGAGTATTATCATTCTCTCCATTAATAATAGCATCTGTTTCGGGTTGTGGGGATTCACCCCGTTCTAATCTTTGTAGTTCTGCCTCTCTAGCATTTTCAATTGCCACTTTTTTCATTTTTGCAACCAACCTGGTTTCATTTTGTTGTAGTTCGATTAATATATATTGATATGGCTCCAGATCTAATCTGTTACATCCTCGGTTATTAGTCCGTCTGCATGCCTCACATGGGGGTAAACTAGTTGCTCGTGCGTTGAGTGGAAACATTGTTTTGTTAAGGTATCGTCCACATGATACACAGTATTGAGTATCTTCTATTAACAATGGTACACCTTCTGCGCTTCTAGGTACTACAAGGTACTTACCTACTTCTGGATTAACTTGAGGTAACTTGGCAAATTGAATGAATCTATTGCAAATTCTCTGTCTTAGTCCAGATAAGTATTTACAGGGAACACCACGCATTATCAATTCTGCCTCCCGGTCAACTAATCCAGCTATCTCCTTAGTAATTTTCATATTGTATGGGCTAATAGTTTGTTTTAGTGTCAGAAGTATGTCTAGCCTTTCATTTTGTGTTACATTTTCCAAACTTAGAGTTTCATATATATCGAGTAGTTCCTTTGCACGAATTGTCTCAGCTGTTGCTACTTCAATCATTCTCCCATCAATGGCAGATGTCCATAGGTGTGGTTTGGAGGCCTTTTTTAAACAGTGAGATTGGATTTTTTTCGTATTTTTGTTACTTATGCATATTTGGTGTCTGGTAATAGCTGCGATTAGTTCTGCCTCTTCATTCAACACTAATGCTAAAGCTGCCTTTTTTTCTGCTTCTGTTAATTGTTGTACTTTTATTTTCTTAACTTCTTCCCTTCTCCATGCTTCTAATGCATTATACAGTCTATCAAAATCAGCAGCAGTTTTTGGATGAAGTCGGCGCTCAAAATCATGTGCAATTTTTTTTGCAATTGCATCTTTATATTCCTGAGCCTGTGCTTCCTCCCAAGCAATATAATCATCTCTCATCTTTTTTAACTGTGCTACTCTTTTCTTTGCAAGCCATCGACGTATATACTTTTGAATGATAATGATCTACAAAATAAGAAACACAAGTAACAATACACTTTATTAAGCTTCATATTTAAAATATTTTGATAAAACTAGTTGTTCACTTGTTTTGCGTTTCAAAGACTATATGAGTATATGGAGCATCATTTAAAAGTTTCATTTACATTTAAGGATGATATTAAATCCATCCTTCTTTAGTAGGTTAGACTGGAAATTTAAAACTTTACCTTATCATTACATCTTACTAAAGCAGGTTTTCTCTTGCTGACACGAATTCACTCTTTTACTCAGATGATTTTGCATGTATAATCGTAAAACTTAAGAAACCTATCAAGTTAGGTATTCTGCATTTCGTTTTTTGTAGGTTTCAAAGAAATTGTAATCTTACCTCGATAGTCTCGGATATTCATGATGTTATATTAATAATTTTGGTAACAAGCAGATGAAACCATGACGGGCATTTTGTCCTGTTTGCATAAGAGGTGGCTATTGTGCCCCAGTGGCTTATTGGATAACGTTTTGGCGCTTGAAGCGAAGGGTTGGTGGGAACAAAATCACTTAATGGAGTGCAGGTACGTTTAGCTGACGAGTCCCAAGTGAGACGAAACGCGCCTCCTGGATCCGTCTGCTAGTCACCACAGTCAATATGATCGTAATTTTGTCACTTCAAGTTTTTCTTTATCTTGAAAACTCCTAATAGTTAACTTATTTACCTAGTTGATAATTTTTATCTACCTGCAAATAAACTATTCCCTTAAACAGTTTTATTATCAAACCTGTATGAGGTCGTTTACCGTTCAGATGGATCAGTAATAAGAGTTTCCTGTTAGGATTCACGTGGGTTACTTGTGAGCACAAATTTATCAGAAGTTTCAGATACACTTTTCGATATCCCTAAACCTTTTTGGCTATTGTAAGTGCTATATGCTAAAAAGCGAATGACGCGACCAGTATTCTTTTAAAGCAACCTCATTAGTACAGTGTCGCCATATAATGCAATTACTTAGTTGTAGTTGATAGCTAGCTCGTTAGCCTAGTAATAGTTGCGGAAGTGACTTCAGCTATGCATTAAAGGAAAGCGAAATGTCAGCTGGAAAGACATTAGAGTAAAATCATATATTTTACTTATTATGTATTCCCTTATTGGTTTTTTAATTATGAAACAGGGATAGTGATTTTTTTGGTTGGAGGCAGTCAGCAGTAAGCCGTGGACCTAGGTTTCGTGCTTGTTGGTACTCGTCAGCAAGGCGTATCTGCAACATCGATGGAACTGATGTTCCTCCTGAAATTCGAACCCGTGTTACCCAGTGTTGTAATCAGAGACGTTACTCAAGCAACTCAATGGTAACTTCTGTGACTTCAGCGATGGCTGGTACGGGTTCTAGTCTCAGACGGGACATTATTTCCGTCAAGGTTGCAGCAACGCTTGGCTGGTGAGTGCCAACCAGCACGGCTTCCTGCCACTTGCCTCCAACCATTTAAAATCTATCAGTGTACACTGCGATGCTTAGCCTCCTACCTTGGCGGCCACATCACAAAAGCGATTGATAGAATTAATTTGGCACTCAGGACTAGACCAATTAATGATTTCTTATCTAGCATGAAAGTTTAAGGAATTACAGTAACCACTTCCTGTTCCTTGATTTAATACAGTCTTTCTATACGGTTCCTGAAGTTAGTAGTTTTAGTCATATGTACACGTAAAATACCTGAATGTATGCTTTTTACTCCACTCGTTCTCAAGGATCTATTTATGCTAGCTGATCTAGTTACATAGTATTGAGATCAGCGTTAACAACTATGATAAATCCCACTATAACTGGTCGGTTGGATGAAATACTAATCAGGTCATCAAAATGGCCCCTAAAGTTGTTCTTTGAAACGCTACAGCCTTGTAAGACGTGGAAGTTAAGTAGATTTGGTCACAAAATTCGCACAAATTATCTAGTGACTTGCCTCTAAAATAACATGCGAACCTTGTAAGGAACTTTTTTGTGTCTCATAATACATAGTTGTAATTACTGAATACTGTGTGGCAGTGGTTTTTTTAACATGACAACCTCACTGAAGCTAACATTTTGCACTCATGAGAACTAAATATTTATATACATTACAATTTTGATAATATATATGTATATTAAATATTGCAAGTCGACTGCAATTTTTTTTCTGGCATTTCTTAATCCAGAGAGTTAAAACACTTAAATGGATTACCAGTGACTCATCACTATCTTGTGGTATCCACCAGGGATGCTCGCTGCCACAGTTCCTAATTAATTTCCTTATAGATATACTAATGAACATGGCCTTAGTTATTTCTAACTTCACAGGGATTGTTCTGCTTCCAGGAGGAGATTTGGTTGACTTGAAGTATGCTGACGATATTGTCCTGCTAGGTGAAGACGCTGACAAAATGCGGGGTCTTCTAAACATTTTGAGTAGAAATATGAGTATGTTTGGCATAGGTTTTGCACCTGTCAAAAAGATGTAAGATGATGTTTTTGGACTGGTCTAAAATTACTCCGCGTTTGAGGACAGGGAGTGAAGTTGTTGAACGTGTCAACGACTTCACTTACTTGAGGAGTTGCATTAGGCCAGACCGACTGGTTGCCGATGAAATCTCAGCTAGCCTACAGAAGGCCTGTTTGGCACTAGCCAACTGGCGTTATCTAGGGCTCCGACTGGCGAAATATTCGTCTACCTATTAAAGGACGAGTATACTGCAATGCTTCAGGTTATTGCTGTTGAAAATAGATCTCAAGCAGTTACAGGTTTTTGATCACAGGTATCTTTGTAGCATTTCTCGCGTATGGTGGAATCACCGTGCGAACAATGTTGAGGTCAGGGGGACGATACTGGGCAAGACAGGCACGTCGACTGATGAGGTTGTGAACCTTAGTCGACTAAAATGGCTTGACCATGTTCTGGATATATCCAGCCACCACCTACCTCGACGTCATATGCTAGGGGAAGCTGTATTAGTTTGGAAGAGGGTTCAGGGTGGTCAAACCAAGATATGGTACCAGTTGATAAAGTCTCTTACTGTTGGTCTGAGTCGTGTAATGAGATGTAGACTACCCGTCGGGGGTCCTCGAGACGAAAAAAATCAGCAGTTGGCTGAAAACCGGTCACCATGGCGTAGATGTATTTATTCCTTGACATCTTGAGCTTGAATATTCGCACTAACTGTTATCTACAGATTGTTTATTCTTTCACACAACTTTGTCTTCTTTAATATCAGTCTTTTTCTATCCACCTTTTCTCTGTAAACTACTGTGAAATATGTCAACCTGGACCGAAGTACTTGTTTACATGCTGCAGGAATATATAAATTAACATGGATTTCGGTCAGTGTTTCACGGAACAGTTTCGCAAACATTGGGCACCAAGTAGAAGGTTAGCTTCAGATATGGGTCTAAGATTAAAAAATTTTCAGCTAGTTTTATAATAAGTTAGTTCCAGTATTTCGTCTTACACTCCTTTTCGATGATGTTTGCAAGATGCGGAGTCTTCTGATTAACTTGAGCATCAATTTGAGAATGTTTGGCTTCACGCCGCCTAAATGCGAAATGTCGCTCCAGCACTGGTCTGTGTTGCCATGCTATATAACAATGGGAAATGAATTGGTTGAGCGCGTTGACCATCACTTCAGTTACTTGGTCAATCGTGAATAACGTGAATACCTACTAAGGGCCGAGTTCACTTTGCAGCAGTTTGTTCTGTTCTCTTATTTAGCTGCAAATCTGATGTCAGTCCACGATGAATACCAACTTGAAAAATCTCTAAATCCCCACAAACCCCCAAATTCATTAATCATTAAAGATGGAGGAGATGGAAAGACTTTAGGTGTCCTGCCACCGTTACCTTTATAGCATAGGTTGCGTCTTGGTTTCACCACGTCAGTAAAGTATCATCTCCCATTACTTTCTTCCTTATTTCTCCATCTTTGATCATGGTGTCTTCTACCTTGATCTGTTGATGCAGCAGAATAAACTATTATACTATAATGCTAAGCCGGACGTTGACACAGGTTGATTAACATTCTCTTTTGAGCTTCTTAAAGTAAATGATCAAGATTAAATTATAACTGATCTTCATTATTCTAATTTGTGCAACTTCCTTGAAGATGAAACTGGGAGGGAGGTTGGAATAATCGTATTGCAAAAATGATCAGATTTATTCAAATATAAGGATTATCTAACATCACAAAAGTACTAAGTTCTATTTCAAGTTTACATTGTAAAAAGCTTAGATTTATCACTAAGGCAGAAACCGATATACTGAAACTCCTTGTTCACTTGACTTCAACTGTATTTTATCAAATCATATATGGGTTTTCAGGAGTATTAAATAAATGAACTTATTACTGTTCAAGACTCTTTTTTTTTGTTTCTGAAACATATGAACAAGAAGGCACTCACAGTTATCAATAGAGTCAAACTCAGAATACAGAAGAAGAATAATTGATCAATGTTTATTATTATTATTTGTTGCTTGGGTTCCTAGTAGAACATAGGACTTCAGTAGCACGTCTCCATTTCACCCTGTTCTCTGCAGTCTTTTGTACCTGGCTCCACGACTCCCCAGTAGCTTTCATTTCTTCCTCACATGATCACCCTCGAACGCCCAACTCGTCATTTCCCATTTGGATCCCACTCAAGGGCTTGGCGCGTGATGCCTCCGAATGGTTTTCTCAGTGTATGCCAAATCCAATCCATCTCCACTTTCTTCTGCATATTTGTTGGAAGATGGGTTCTTGGTTAGTTTGTTGGCAGGCCAGAGTTCCTTGTTGCTTATTCTTATTATTCTGGCCACCTGATCTTCAGTATCGAGTGAGAGTAGGCAACTATTGATGAATGACTTTAGTTTGTTGGAAATGCTTTTCGTAGGGCGTCAAGTTTCTGAACCATTTAGAAGCACTGACGACTGAATTAGTGTTGAGAATCCGGATCTTGTTCACGATTTATGCTGAGTGCAGCAGATCTCAACACTGATTTCAGAATAATGAAGGCCTGTCTTGCTGTCCTTCCTATCCTGGCTTTGACATCCTCACCTGTGCCGCCTGTATTTGAAACGATGCTGCCTAGGTAGGTGATAGAGACTACTTCCTTTAGGTTTCTCCCGTTGATAGTAATTGGTGCTTGGTGTTGTCGGCTGGGTAATTGATCAATGTGCTCGACTCCAAAGTTTGTAAGCATTAAGTTAACCTTAATATTGTTCTACTGCATCATTTTATTGTTTTTCGTAAAATACAATAACTACTGGGATTTAGGAAAGATCTTATGCAAATTTAGAATAAGTATGCACAACTATATTGTATTTTTTAACATTACTGTATGTGTGCACCAAGGTAAACTATTAAACCATCCAGAAAATTAGTGATGCTTGGAACAATTTTCTTTGGATTTCGTACGAAGTATCCAATGATTACGTATTTTTGAGTATCTGTACATTTTATTCGATGCCTTTTTCAGAAATTCAACACTCTCAATGATCAAATGAGATCACCAAAAATCGGTTAGATACATATTCTTTTTGATATTTCTGATGTGAGGGAAGAATTATTATACAGTAGCATATATTAGTACAGTACCAATGATTTTTGAACTCTTAAGACAAGTAGCCTTTTGTTTATATATTGAAAATGAGCGAGAATATTTAAGTTACTGAATAGTTTTACAACTCCGAACTGAAAAAAGATAGTAAGTAAGCAAACAATCCATTTTGAGTGAAGGGACTCATGAGGTAGCTCATGAACCACAACAGAATTGATGTTTGTTTTAATGAGGTGTAGTAACAGTAGGTAGATAAATCATTACGTGATTGGGAGTTTCAAGACAGTTGTGAAATAGGGGGGGATTTTTATTTACACATTGCAGCAGATTGGTAAGTTGTTTAGCAAGAGAAAATGTTGGTCAGGAAACAAGGTGAAACTACATGAATTTATCAAATATATGAATTATCTTACAGGCTTTTTTTCGATTTCACGAGAGTCACTTTACACCACATGAGTGGCTTACAGTTCAGTCAGAAAAACTCGGCGGTTGATTTATGGAACGTCTTAGGTGGGCATATCGAAAGCCGAAGCGATATGGTTAAATACATAAGACTTTGTTTTACATCACTCTGACATGAGAAATAAACTGTAGCGTTTCCTTTCAACCTGATACGACCACTATATTTCCAAGTACTTGATTTTCTTAGCATCGAGTTGGTATTCTTCATGGATTGATATCAGTTGGAGAACCATTGAAACCTGGGAACACTGAACAGCTGTTTCGTTCTAGTATAACACTCCTTGCCAGTGATCACCCATGACTCCATAGGGGCCAAACCCAAGACCTTCAGGTCCCGTGACAATCACGTTACTCTTGAACCACCGGATCGGAATCCAATGGTTCATTTTCCCTACTTCTGCCGGTTCGCAATGTAGTGTGACGTGCTGGATGTGCAACCTGAAGGCCCTGGGTTCAATCCCCGGTGGGGTCATTGGAACGGACTGCTGAGGGGCTCCCTACTAGGACGAAACAGCTATCCAGTGCTCTAAGGTTTTCAATGGTTCTCCAACTGATATCATCCTATGACGAGTACTAACTTGAAGTCCATAAACTAATTCCCCACAAATCTCCAAGTTGAATTACTGGATTTGGTTTTGATTTTAAATCCGTGGTGCACTAACTGTCAACTTTTACAGTAGACAGTCTTCCTTCGAGACCTTTCTAATTAGGCTTACAAGTGCGTTTGGTTTTTACTAGAGGGTATCTGACTATCTTTGTTTTTCTTCATATTTTAAATAGAACGTTCCTAATCATGGCATGGATATGGACGATAAATTATGTCCGAAATGTTGTCCACTAAGTAATACTATTTCACTGTAGTATTTATAATTAACAGACTAAAATGGAAGGTTTCAATCTATTAGTTGGTTATTGGTAAAAATAATAGAACGGTCCAGCTAGGAAATAATCTGGCAAACCCAAGTTTACCGTTGGTATAGATTAGGTTATCTTCTATAGCTGACTGACATATTCTTATAAAAATACATCGTATTGGTAATTAAAATCTCTGGGACCAAGATACTGTATTTTTGCTTGACTAGGCAGAATCATTATCAAATAAGTGACTATGTGAATATATCAGAAATCTTACTTTCTTTAATATCCTTGCATGGTATTCATCTGCTGTTTCATATAGTCCCGGAGTTTTCACTCTATCTTTGCTATTTGACACAAAATATCCCGGCTTTGAAAACTGTGTAGACATATGATTTACTGTCATGTTTCCAAAATGACGCATTTTGTATGTTTGTGTATCTCTTGATATTTTTACGACTTGCTTAACTTTCCGTGGTGTCGGTTTTGTTTGTGTGGATGCATTATAATATCTGTAATTTGTAATTGTATTCCTGTAGCCACCAAGAAATGGTTTGTGATAATCATATGGTAACCAATCTATATGAATATGCTCTTCACTTATGTCTGTTCCATTTTTCTTATTTACTGACATGATACTTTTCTGACTGTAGGGATCTTTTGTGACTCTTACCTTTTTGCCAATAATCTTAATGGTAAGTCCGGATGTATAGACCATTTCACGGCATCCTAACTTCAATTTTAGTGAGTCATCAACATTTTTCAGCAAAATTGAGAGATTTACTTGTCTGTTTTCTTCTGCCAATTTAATCAGTGAAGTATCAGAGTTTACCAGTTCACCTTTGTACTGGAGTAGTAGGTTTTCATGTTTTATGCCAGTGTCTTTGATGAGCATTATTCTAATGTCTGAGACGGTAAATTTGTCAGGGACGAAAAATATTTCTAGCAACACACCACATATTGATTCTACGTGAACAGTCACGCTCACTTTGGGATCATTGTAGAACGGAGGGTTTGTGCGTTTGATATCAACTTTTTTATCAATATTATCTTCGTCATTGCTTAAGGATTTTGTGGAATTAGGCATCGCTTCGACAGAATCAATGGTGCCACTGTGTTCAATATGGTTTGTGTTTTCTTGAGTTGGAGTATCAGATTTGAGTATATCTGAATTTTCATGATACTGAATATTTTGCACGTTTGTGCCACAATCCAAGCTGTCTTTTTTAAGCAAGTCAGTCGGGTCATCAGACAGTGTTTCAAGATTCATATGAGCATCGTTTTTATCCTCCATTTCGTATGAAAACTTCTTTATTAAGCTTTACTCGTATGGAGTACTTTATTCATGATGTAGACTTATATATCAGTCTAAGAATTATCGGTAGATATGCTGAAAGATAAACAGAAAAGCGTATCTTATTAACCTTTAGAAAACGTCATCTATGTAGACTTTAACAAGTAAACCCATTCAATGAAAAAAGGTAACATTTATTTGGAAATAGAAACTTAAAACTCATGCAGACAACGAATATGAATGGGTTTTTTGATAAATGGGTTTGGAGTAAGAAAATATTCCTGCGAAATTTTAAACCTGGGTTAGATCTCCCTAAAAGATTCAAACTAATTGAAGTGATCGATTATGTCACATCCCATTGCATCTTCCAATTTAAACATACATGTGGTGACACATACATATAGAGAACTCATAGATCCATTGAAATAAAAGTCTCGAAGCGAATTCCCAAGTAGCTTCAAAGGCAAACCGAATCACCTGAACCCATGGACGCAGTTAGCAGATATCCAAGTTCTGCAATTGCGATTGTTGAGATAAACCATACAATTGACGCTTCTACATCCTTTAAACCTATTTATAAAACATTTTAGGAATGGACCCTTAAATTTGTTGATACCTTAGCTATTAGGAGGTTTAGTCCACCTTTATGTGTTCAAAAAAGATTCGGTATCAAATTAAATCTCTCTTGGTGAACTAAACTTCGAAACCAAATTCAATGTACTATTATTTCCATCCTATTGGTTTTCATTGTTATTCTTGCCTTCCTGTTTGATCTCTTTTCATATTCTCACCCTTTATCTCTTTAAAACCTTTCATGTAAATATAAATGACAAGTATGCGCATCATCAAACTGTTCGAAATATGTTGCGCAGATACATTATTTGATTGAGACAATTAACGTCGTCTTATTGTTTTGTCGACGTTTTGTAAAGAGAACTAATTGTTTGAAAATGCACAAAGATGTCTGTTGGGAGATCTAATACATGTTTAGTTGCCTGCCATTATTATCAATGGAAGATAGATTTGTTAAATGCATGAACAAAACCAAAGCCATTTATCAACAGTGAAATCATTATGGCTTCACTTTCTAAGAATGACATTCATATTCCATTACGCAAATGAAGTTTTCGGCAAAAATTAAAATACTGTATTAATCTTATGTTGGATTCACAAAACAAAGCTACTTTATTTATTATCCCTAACTCTTCCAATAATAGACACAAATATTTATAGCAAAACTTTAAGGAGCGGCTATACTGACGAGTGATTCCAACCATTGTCTGGGGCAGCTGAACTAGTCGAAACAGCTTCTTGGAGATATCCACGTAATTTCACACCAAATAGTCAACAGTGGATATCGTTTCGATGATCATTTATTCCTAACTAGCATTAACTTCAAACATAAGAAGGGGAATTGTTCCATTCAGTATCTGCTGACACTGAGCTAACGGTGGATACAGATAAATCACATCAATATAAACCATCGTTGGGGTAAATAACCGGTCTTTCCAAATTATCTGATGGGTATCGAATTATGCGTTGGTTTGTGCTCCAATGAAAAAAAAACAACACTTAGACACTTTAGTGCGCCACCGGAGGATCAGAATATAGAGTGTATGTTCATGGGTGATCCAGTCAAGCATGTATCTGGAATCGCCAAAAGCCGCTTTAGAACCTGTCAACATCCACAACTAGCTTCGGGATCATGAGTGAAGTGGCAGAATCCGTTGACCACTTCACTAAGTGAATGGTCAATAAAGAAATCTAGGTCGGAATACTAAAGGCTTGTCAATATTTGTTATCTTAAACGACGTGTGGTGATGGCCAGATATCTCATCATATATCGAAGGATGAGTTTACTGCTCAGCTGCTCTCTGTGTCCTACTGCACGGTTTTGAGACGTGGCTGTCGGAATTCGAAGATATAAAGAGATAACGGGCTCTTGAACATAAGCGTTTCCTAAGCAATATTCCAGTGGGGTGGGAACACAGAATGAAGAATGTTGGAATCAGACGGAGAATACTAGGCAGGGAAGGCAAGTCAGTTCATGTTGACAGATAGCTGCTACCTTAACGTAGTGGTCGAGGTTGTATATTACAGTGAACCAATGATTTACACTGGTTGGAATGCTTGTTCGTACCATGCCAGACAAGTCTGTTGGGGCAGTGATAAGACGAAGAGTAGTTACCGTTGTAGTGTAGCTATCTACGCTATGATGAGGGTTGGAGGGGGAAGTCGTACTGCTGGCTCGATGGGGTGTGACAGAAGTAAGCTGTTTCTCTTGGATGATCAGCGTTGCTACGCTGATGCTGCTTTCTCCATGGGAAGGGGAAGTCAGAAAACGTCGGCTCCAAATATACTTCCTTGCCTTACGGTGTTCCGGTGCCGGCCGAATGGGTTTTTTCTATCCGGGGATAGAACGATCAAATCTCACACCAAAAACGCTCAAAAGACTGTGTGTGACAGACAGGCAGACAAAATTAACCTAGAACCTCGCATACAGGTGCATGGGCTCATGTTGCCAAGTTTTACCGTGCTACACAAGGAATAGGTGGATAGAAAAAGACTGATATCAAAGTAGACGAAATTGTCTGACAGAATAAACAATCTGAAGATAACATTTAGTGCAAATATTGAAGCTTAAGATGTCAAGGAGTGAAGATATCTCCATGTCAATCGATTTCTGACAATGAGACAGCCTGTGTCACTAACAACAAATCGGTCTAAGGACTGGAAGCTAAGTGGGAATTGGAAGTAGCTATGAATGACAAGGTCCTTAAATTGGTCTCAAGCATACAAACACCTGTTCCTAAGACCCTATGTAGGTGTCGGAAAAGCAGGAAACCTACGAAAGTACCTGTAATTTCATTCAACCTACTATGGAACGAACCCGGTTCACCCACCTCAGTAGTTGACTTGATTCAAAACTATGGTTCTGACAATATAGAGGCATTTTAGTCCAAGTAAGTTAGTAGTTTTAGAAAAGGAGAAAACCAAAGAATAGTCGGTCGATGGCAACAAAGGTATCTAAACTTGGCACTGTATCGAACGCTAAGGATGCAGATTGTAGTCTAATATTTTGAAATTTGGGAGAGTCGACAGATTCAGCTGTGTTAAGCTCATGGACTGAACTTCTATTGGATCAGCACCCCAATACCTTTTCCCACAGTCTTCAGTGGGAGTAAACGTGAGGAAAGTGTTAAGATTTGATAAGTGGTAAACGGATAAAGTTACCTGTGTACATCTTGTTTAAGTTGTGCTGGGTGTTCGCACAATGTGCGATCGTTCTTAAATATGCATATAAGGTTAACGATGAGAATATACATATACTTCCTGACTGGCCATTTGAGGACAAAATAAGGAGAATAGAAGCTTTGTTTTTATTGAGGGCCCGACAAGAAAGAAGGGTAAGGAAGCCTAAAAGTATAAGGCTTTCAAGTGGTTGGATATCGGCAACGGCTGCCGAGAATGCTATTCATAAGTTGGATGAATGTTCAGAGAGCATGAAAGTTCGTTACGCCAACTCCCTTAGTCTCAAGAATAAACTTTCTGAGTTGGAAGATTCCGTCAAAAGCCTGAAACCTGACGTAATAGTAACAACGGAAACATGGTTACTGGAGGGCGTGAACCTTACAACACACACTAGGATTTATCTGCATAAATAACGATAATCACCAATCGTGAGGGTGATGGCATTGGAATTTACATAGGGAAAGTATAAGAGTGCATTTGACGGTGTCAAGAGAGCAAGTCAGCGGCACATGTGAGAAAGTATGTTTTGAAGTTAAGTCAAGTCATATATCTTTGTCCCAGTCGCCAAGCCGATGACTTCGTGTTGAGATACTTGCATTGATGGGGCGCTAACAACAGGTAACTAGAAGTTGGAGACTGTAATGCTACCCATTTTGGAACTTGCGACTCGGTTTATAAATCTTCCCCCCTCAGACCAAATATATGATAGGCAGACTTAAAGTTGAATAAGGATGTCGCAGTGTCATTAGACTGGTCTGTCAGTACAGGTTAGCCTGTTGGAAAGGATTGGAAGAAATTTGGCTGTCATTCAAAAGTGTCACATCTGCTTTCATTGCTTGATCAATATTAAAGAGGCCTATCCACAGACCTCCTTGAATAGATAATCAAATTCAAAGGTTATGAGAATCCTTTGTTATTATGTGAATAAACCAGCATACCGATAAGTTTTATTTTATTAAGCGAGATCAAATATTTTGCAGCTACGAACAGCTTGTTTTGATTCATTTACAAAGCAAAATAAACATGACATGCAATCAAGGCCACAAAATACTTCATGTATGCTTTATTTTACTTCAGATGCTTGATAGAAAGACAAGTAATTGGAATTGACCATTTAGCGCGCACGTAATTATTTCACAATGACTACATATGTGCCCCCAATCCTAGAGAATCATGTTCATCTAAATCACTTTTGTTTTATGAACGAAGTTTTGTCTCCAACTCCACAGGAAAGAACATTTTTTGGAACTTTTAAGTCCTAAACAGTTTCAAACAATGTTGGCTGGAGGCAGTCGGCAGGAAGCCGATGCTGAGCTTCCTAGCTTGGTTGCCTCATTGCAAACGTGGTCGATAGAATTCGGTCTGCACTCAGGACTAGACAACATGAAATTGGTTGCACTTCCGTGACCAATCAATACATTCAAACAATGTCTTTAGTTAGCATGCCTGAAGATTATTTAGTTCCAATGTAATGTTGAGACCACTACTTGAATGCATTCGGTATATAAAGTGTCTTATCTGTACTCAAAGTATAGACAAGTTTTCCAATAGCACACCTGTACGATGTATTTTCGGTTAACAATATGCAGCCAATGACAATTAGAATTCACCAAGATTTTAAGATTTACTCATTCTGTATAACATCTAAGCCATTTTTCACCGAATTCTTGTGTTCTGCTCATCGTTTCACCAATATGTTCGTCTCTTTCATAGTGCGTTGCCTTATTTCATGCTCTGTGTTCCGTAGACCATCCACTTACAGCATCATGGATCAATGCCATTTTAAGGATTCAATTTAGCATCTAAAAGTTCATTATAATGTCAAATTTACTCAATAAATTTAA